GCGGGGTGGGGCGCTGGGAGCCAGGACTCCTGTTTTCTCCCCGGCTCTGGGAGGGGAGTGATGTCTAGTGGTTGGAGCCAGGGTTGTGTCTCTACTTCAGGTGCCTTTGCTGCTGCAGGTGCTGCCTGGGATGCAGAGATGGCCACGGGCGAGCCCGGCTCACCGACGTGGGAAGGGATGGCGCTGCCCCAAGAGCAGGCTGAGCCGTGCCCCACAGACACAGGTGAGTCTCCGCCCGGGGGCAGGAGGGTGTGGGGTTGCCCCCCATCCTGTGGCCAGGAGCCTGGCACAGAGAGTACCTCAAATGAGAGACACAGGGGGCAAGGACTCCTGGGTTCTCTCCCCAGCTCAGGGTGGGGAGTGGGGTCTGGGAGCCAGGACTCCTAAGCTGTCTCCCCACTTCCAGGAGGAGTGTGGGAGCCTAGTGGTTAGAGCAGAGGGGGCTGGGAGCCAGGATGCTTGGCTTCTCTCTCCAGATCCAGGAGGACCATGGGAGCCTAGTGGTTAGAGCAGGGGGGGACTGGGAGCTAGGATGCCGGGGTACCCTCCCCAGATCCAAGAGGAGAGCAGGGTCTAGGGCCCCCAGGATGTCTGGCTTCTCTGCTGTCGTGGCAGCTTTCTTCTTTGCCCCCAGGTGGGGAGGGGCCCGGTGCCGGCCGGGAGGAGCAGGAGGGGCTGCCTGCCCCACAGAGCCATGGTCTTCGTGCTGAGCGAGGCCGGCAAGCCCATCTACTCCCGCTACGGCAACGAGGAGGCCTTGTCCTCCACCATGGGCGTCATGATGGCCCTGGTGTCCTTCATCCAGAGCGGTGACAACGCCATCCGCTCCATCTACTCGGGTAGGCCAGGGCTGGGCTGTGGGGAGCGGGCAGGCAGGGGGCCCTCTCCCTGGCAGCCAGGGCCAGGCGCTGGGGGGCGCCGTGTGGAGAGTGGGGCGGAGACGGCAACGAGGAGGCCTTGTCCTCCACCATGGGCGTCATGATGGCCCTGGTGTCCTTCATCCAGAGCGGTGACAACGCCATCCGCTCCATCTACTCGGGTAGGCCAGGGCTGGGCTGTGGGGAGCGGGCAGGCAGGGGGCCCTCTCCCTGGCAGCCAGGGCCAGGCGCTGGGGGGCGCCGTGTGGAGAGTGGGGCGGAGGTGGGGGGGCGCCCCCTTGGCATTCGCAGCTGATCCATACAGATCACGGCGTTCCCGAGACGTCCCCTAACACTTGCCCTTCCTGAATGAAGGTGAGAGCCCCTGGCTGTCGGAGCCCGGGGGGTTTCTGCTTCCCCCCCAGCGCAGGCCCAGGTGGGGTGCTGTGGGGTGCGAGGCCGTATGCTTCCCTAGGGGTGGATAAAGTGGGGAGGAGGCTGGGACGCTGGCAGGGTTCTCTCACCAGATCCAGGAGAGTGGGGTCTAGTGGTTAGAGCAGGGCGGGGAGCCGGGACGCCTGGCTTCTCTCCTGTCGTGGCGGCTCTCTTCTTTGCCCCCAGGTGGGGAGGAGCCTGGTGCCGGCCGGGAGGAGCAGGAGGGGCTGCCTGCCCCACAGAGCAATGGGCCCCCGGGAGCAGCTTGTGCCCCATGCCTGGCACTCTCCGGGGAAACCTGACGCGGGTCGGGGAACCTTTTTTGGGTTGGGGGGCCGCTCGCCCACAGAAGAATCACTTTGGTGGAGGCTGGGGGGCTGAGCCTTGAGCCCTAGGGGCCGGATCCAGGCAAGCTGGGACCGCATGGGCCTTCAGTTCCCCGCCCCTGCCCTACCGCGATTGGCAGGGGCGTGCGGAGTGCGGTGTGACAGACGGACGGTGCCCCTCCCGGGAGTGCTGGCTCCGCTCTGGGGCTGGCTCCGGGGGCCGCTCACCGCCTCTGCCCCTTCACCCTAGACGACCGGAAGCTGGTGTTCGTGCAGCAGGGGCCCCTGGTGCTGGTGTCGGTGTCGCGGACGCTACAGTCGGAGCAGCAGCTGCGCCAGGAGCTGCTCTACGTTTACTACCAGATCCTCAGCATGCTGACCCAGGTGAGCATCACCCGCATCTTCGAGCGCAAGAAGAACTACGACCTGCGGCGCCTGCTGGCCGGCTCCGAGAAGATCCTGGACCGTCTGCTCAACCTGGTGGAGTCGGACCCCGGCTTCCTGCTGGGGGCGGTGCGCTGCCTCCCCCTGCCTGCCTCCCAGCGGGACGCCCTGGGTGCCCTGCTGCAAAAGGCCATCACCCCCAACCTGGTCTTCTCCATCCTGGTGGCCCAGAGCCAGCTGGTCACGGCTGTGCAGGAGCGGGCGGTGATCGAGGAGTGCCGGCTGGAGCCCACCGACCTGCACCTGCTGCTCAACCTGATCGGGGCCAGCTCGGCCTTCCAGGCGGGGGAGATCTGGACACCCATCTGCTTACCCCGCTTCAACCCCGACGGGTACTTCTACGCCTACATCTCCTACCTGGACGCCGAGTGCACGGTGTGCCTGGTGCTGCTCTCCACCGACAAGGAGTCCTTCTACGCCGTCTCGGACTGCAAGAAGCGGGTGGAGGAGGCCATGCGGACGCAGGGCTCGCTGCAGGTGCTTTCAGGCGGCCTGCAGAGCCCCTCCTACAGTGTGGGGCAAGTGGGGGTGCCCGGATATCCCGGAGAACTACCGCCAGCTGCCCCAGTTCACCAGGTACCGGGCTGCGGCGGATGCCCTCCTGGGGGGCTGGCTTTGGCCAGCAGGGTTGGTGCGCGGGAGGCTGGGTCGTGTGGGTGGCCTTGAATTCTGTCGCTGAGCCGTGCTTTGGTGGGGGACTTCCCAGGTACTGGGGGAAGAAAGGGGGGATCAGCAGGGGGTGCTCTCCCCTGGCACTTGTGCTGCAGGAAGCAGGGTGTAGGGCAATGTTCCCTCTAATCTCCCTCCCCCATGTGCAGAATACATTTTGTTCTGTGCACCAAAGCATGCACCAATGTGCACCACCAGGAGAAGCACAAAGCTAGCTGGGGGCACTCTGGTAATCAGCTGGGCGGCATTGGGATCTCTCCTGAGGGAACACTGGTGGAGGGTGTTTCTCCCTGGCCTGAGGCTGGAGGCTGTGGGGGGGCGTGGCGGGGGTGCCGTCTCCTGGCCGTCGTGCTGGGAGGATGTGCAGCGGGGCAGGTGTCAGCAGCGCTGTCCTCCGTTTGTGGGGAGTTGTTCTGCAGCTGCGTGCTCCACCCCAGAGGCAGCTGAGTTCCAGCCCCAGGTGGGCGCTCCCTGCACGAGCGGCTTGGAGAGCGTTTTGCGGCCACTGCAGCGGCGGGTGGCTGGGACGCACCGGGCTCCCGAGCAGACAGCTTGTCCCCACCCCCCGCAGCTCCGGGACAAGTTAAGCCGGCCTTATTCAATCCTGGCTTTAAATAGGGCATATCATGTGCTTCCCAGCAGGAGGCGTGTGTGTGAGATGGACTTCTCGTGGTGATCATGGGGTGGAGATGGCCTGGGGCAGGCTGGGAAGTCAGGGGTCTCGGCAGTGCCATCACGTGGAGGGCTGGTGGGAGTGGCTGAGGGCTGGGGGAGGGGAGCCCTGACAGCATGAACCTCCCAGTGTCCCCGAAAGAGAGCAAAAAATGGGGAAACTGAGGCACAGTGTGTTCCTGTGTGGCGGCGAGCGAACCCACACAACAGTTTTCCTGCCTGCGGGGTTGGAGGCAGGGTCTCTTCGCGTCTTGTGCGCAGCCTGGAACGGAAGCGATTAGCTCACGATCGACCACAGCAGCTGGTCACATGGGTTCATCCGGCCCTGTGTTTCTTCCCCACGTTGGAATGGGAGGCCGTCTGTTTGGGGACCCCCTCCCCATCCCGGATGAGAACAACAGGCCTGTCTAGCCTGATTTGCAGGGCCTGGATAGCTGTGCTCCATGGACAGCACTGGGTTCTGGATCCCTCACCTCCGTGCCTTGCCGGGCCGGAAAAAAGGCCTGTTACTTGAACTGTGCAGTGAGCAAAGCCATATTTTGCAGGCCCCCCGTGTTAGCCGGTGGGACTCCCTGCCACAGGATAGTAGGGCCGACAGTCCTACACGCCCCAGGAGTCTCCGCAACTCTCCAAACCAAAGCAGGGTTCTGCGCCGGGGCATGTGCCCTACCCTGGAGAGAGCTGCATTTCAGCTGTGGCCAAGCACTCACCATTAGGGTCAGGGAAGCAGTTATTTCTGGGGTTCCTCTGTTAGCCAGGATGCCGCGCTAGAGGGGCTGGTTCTTCAGCTGTTCCTAGGCCTCTCTCTAGCTCCGCATTCTCCCTGCCGTCCTGGTTCTGTGGGGCCCAGGCTTAAGACGCTGGTAGCAACCATGAGAGGGTGGGGGGAAGGTGCTTGGCCTCTGCATCTAATCCCCCTTTCCCTGGCGTGTCTCGGCCCCGCAGCCCAGAGCTGGAGGGGCCATATTGCAGCGAGGAGGAGCAACAACGGCTTTTTGACCTCTACCATTACCTGCACAGCCGCATCCACAGCACCTCTCGCCCCCTACGCCTCATCTACCACGTGGCGGAGAAGGAGACGCTACTGGCTTGGGTAAGGCACAGATCAAGGCGTCTGGTGGGGATGGGGAAGGCCTCTCTTCCTCCCCAAGAGAGTGAAGAGGACGCCCTAGTACTCCGCGCAATTGGCTCAGGCTTTCCGCAAACACAGGCAGGGTCACTCATGGGCAGGAGAGTTTCCCCAACTTGGAGCGACGGGCTTAGGCTCTGCAGATCCTGGCAGCGTTGCCGTGTTTGTGACACCGGGTTTATGCTCCCAAGGTTTTCTTCCCAACGAGGGAGGTGAGACGCTTGCTCTGTTTGTAACAGACAGCTGAGCTGCTGCTGGGATCATGTGACTCCAGCTGTTGCCCTTTGCCCTGAACCTAGATTGCCTGGATTTTCATGTGGCATGGGGCGGGGCTTGGAAAAGACGGTCTCCTTGGGAAAGACGGTCTCCTTTCTCAGTAATCTAGCATGAGGAGGGTGGGACTTCCTGTTCTAGCCTTTTGGACTTGCGGTGGACTCATTCCTGATCCCTCTAACAGGTGCTTAGCATGGGAAATGATCATCAAGCTCTCAGCAGTCCTTCCTGGGTAGCTGGGGTGATGTTTCGGGCTGCTCGTTCCCAGAATTCCAGTGTCAAGGTCCCATGTGCTGTGGAATTTCCAGACTGCTGGAGCGGATCTGGCATATGCACCTTTTGTGTGATGCGTCCACTTGCGATTGGCAGCGATGTGCTTGGGTTTTAATCAAAAAAGCAAACCGAATGCTAGGAATCATTAACAGAGGGATTGAGAGTAAGACAGAGAATATTTTATTGCCTCTGTATAAAACCGCAGTACGCCCACACCTTGAATGCTGCGTATAGATGTGATCGTCTCATCTCAAAAAAGACATATTGCCATTGGAAAAGATTCAGAAAAGGGCAACAAAAAGGATGAGGGGTGTGGAATGGGTCCCGTATGAAGAGAGATTAAAAAGACTGGGATTTTTCAGCTGAGAAAAGAGGAGACTAAGGGGAATATGCTAGAGCAGCGTTGTGCAACCCGTGGGTTGCGACCCCCAAGGGGGTTGCGGCTGTCTTCTGGGGGTTGCAGCGGACAGGATCAGGAGCTAGATGGACCTTTGGTCTGACCCAGTATAGCCGTTCTTATGTTCTTAATCGTCATTGGTAGGTTTCAGAGTCAACACATCCCATTGGAACAGATAGCTTGTGCCTCTCCTGGCTGTCCTACTTCAGATGGGTTTCAAGCTTGTGCTCCCTCCCTGAGGGCTAGTGATGAGAAGAAGCCAGGAGGAGAGGGTTAGAGGGGGAGCGCAAGAGATGAGATGGTGCTGGGTTTTGGGGAAAAGATTGCTTGACCTATTCGCTTCCACCTTCTCCTTCCCAGGTGACCAGTAAGTTTGAACTGTACACTTGCTTCAGCCCCCTGGTGACCAAAGCTGGTGCTATCAATGTTCTCACCAAGCTGTTGCGCTGGATCAAGAAGGAGGAGGACCGGCTTTTCATTCGCTACCCCCCCAAGTACTCCACCACACCCAACCCAGGGAAGGGCACCAAGGGCGGCCGGCCCGACGGCGCTGAGAATGGATTTTTTGCTGGCCTCTAAGCCTGGTTTTGCTTCACCCGGGCCCCTGTTTCACCGGTGACTGGATAACGTGGGGGGAAATCTATTCCTCCAGAGAAACCACTCTCTGTGATCTAGCTCAGGCGTGGCTGGTTCCTTCCAGGGCTCCTGCGATGAGTGGTTGCTTGTCTGTCTTATTTATTGGCCTACTTGTGTCTCCGAGCCTATGTTGAGGAGGCCTGGTTGGGGGAGGATGACGCCGGGCCTTGTTGCTTCACTTTTGAGCCTTGTGCGCTAGGCTGATGTGGGGCGCCGAGGGGCATGACAAGCTTACACTGGCTCCTGTGGCCTGTTACGGGAAGGGCCTGTGCTGAAGGACTCCACCCAAATGATGAAGCTGGGTTTGGGTATGGCATCTCCTCGACGGAAGTTTTTCTTCTAGTACTTGGCTCCTTTCCCCGGAGCCTCTGTTCTCTGCTTCCCAGTGTGGATCAGCTGCCGGTCCCTAAGCAATGGGTTGCAATTGTGTTTCTCCTTCCTTTGGAAGAATTGTGGCTAATTGCATCTCTTGGCATCAGAGCCCGACCTGCTTTGAACCCATTTTTCTAACACTCTCTGCTCTTTAAGTGTCCTAGCCTGGAATGAACTTAGATTTCTTGCAGGACCTGGAGGTCTGTGGCTCATGTTTGATAATAGATTTAGCTGGGTGCTGTGTCTGGAAACAGCGGCTCATGTTTGCCAACCGATTTAAACTGGGCGCTGTGTCTGGAAACAGGGCAATATGTGCGGTGGAAAGGAGATTACTCCTTCATCTCCTCCTCTCCGTCCCCCGCACATGCTGCTCTCGATGCTGTAAATCGGAAATGGGAGATGCCCCCCATGTTGTGTTCTCTCTCCATGGGCTGGTTGTGTTAGTTAATGTCTGCACCAATGCACTCTCCTCTGTATTAATGTCTGCACCAATGCAGGGGTCTGTATTAATTTAATGTTCACTTTTGGAAAGGCAGATCCTTTCACAGGAAGATTCAAAATGCTTTTTGAAAGCAACAGACTGCCTCTCTCCTTTGCTGGTGACAGCTGCGCCCTGCCTTACGGTAAATGGGCTGCCCCTTGGCTCTTTTCAGTCTCGTTGTCCATCCGGGCTGCTAGAAGGGCTGTTTGGGGCCTCAGCCGTGGGCTCGAGCCAGAATCTGTGGGATCTGCTTCACCCAGGAAGATCACCCCATGTCTCCGGAGAGCGAGCCCTGCCTGCATCTCCTTTCACTTGCATCTAGCTGCTCCAAGGAGACCTGGCGGGGTTGGGGAAGTGGAAAGTGTTTTCACATGCATGAGGCGCTGTGCCTGGAACCGGCGTGGCTGGCTGTCAAATGAGGTCTCTTCCTGGCTGGCTTGTGGAACTGAGAATCAAAGTCTTATTAAAAAAAGTTGTTTTGATGAGGGTGTATCTGCCTTGCTTGCTAGCCAGCACGGAGGCTGTAGCCATGAGGAGGAGGAATTGGTGCTTTCTAAATACTAGCTGTGTTGGGATTTCTGCTATAGGGAGCTGTGGATGCACACCAGAGGTCTCGTGTCGATTTTAATACGCTCACCTGTGGATATATGTCGGCTCACAGATGAGCTTGCCCCAAACGTTGTCACACTAACTCTCTGCCTGAGGTTGGCGTTTTCCATCCCGTCAGCCCCGTTCTTTTTGACAGGGGCGAGCAAGGCAAGATGTGATTCCAAATTCGCTGCACTCATTTTTCTCCTCCAGGAGCCTCTTTTCTTCTCGCTGTGTGTTCCACTTAGTTACAGGTGCAGAGGTGGTTATTCATATCTAAGTATTATGCCTGCTGTTGGCTGTGTTCCTTCCGCAGCTGCTGGGCTCATTCAGAAGGGAGAGGTACACAAATTGGAGATGAATCGGGCACTAGTTCCAGCAGCGAACTGTGTCTTTTGGGCCAAACCTCTGTCGTTTCACGTGTGAACTGCTGGAGATGGAGGTATGCAACTTTATGGCAGCTGGGGCTCATCTTGCCAGTCAGTCCTTAGCAGACGGTCGCTCTGTCTCCCAGAAGGAGCACATAACAGGCAGCAAGTTCAGCCGCTCTTGAAGAGGGAAGGAGCGCAGCAAGGCATGGTAGAAAGGTTATGACCGATTCTTATTCACAGCTGTTTTTTCTGGGGTATTGCACCCTGGACCGCAGGCTGTTACTTGACTCTTGTGTGTGCTGATGTGGTGCAGAGAGAGCTGTTGTGCAGAAACGAAGCTACCAGCTGCGCTAGCAAGTTAACCTTGCTACTACAACATTGGAAATAGAAGCATGGACCCAACCAGAGTCCAAAATACCCAGGCGAGCCTCCCGGCTGTTATTTTAAGATGCAGTTCGCGCTCACACCATGCTGTAAGCTGTGTGCATGGGCTCTGCAGAAGGAGATGGGCCTGTGCAAGGAAGGCAGCTGCTGCCTGGAGAGGTCTGGTCCGCTATCCACCCCCGGGCTCCATGCACCAGGAATCTATCTGCACGGGTTGGGGAGGCAGAAACAAACAATGGCCAGCTGCCTAGCTCAGGCTCCTGCACTTGTCGGGCCACTGAGGTACAGGAGCAGGCTAGGCCTCTGTCCAGTCACTGCCAGCCCTCGCGCATCGCTCGTTCCCTGCCAGTCGTTAGAGCTCCCTATCCCGTACCATCTTCCCAAGCCAATTACCCTCCCTCCCAGCTATGGCCCTTCTCTATGGGGGAGTCTCCCAGGCTGCTAACCACTAGCACATCCTCCCAGGACCCTGCCTTCATGGTGGAGCTCAAGGACCACTGGAGATGTCCTATGTGGGAGAGCGTGGATGTAATCTAGCCCTGTCACAGAAGGCTGGGATGAGCTTAGCCTGGTGTTGGGACAAGGGAGGAGCAGCTGCAGGTCCCATGCTCCAGGGTAGCTGCCTATGGTTCCCTGCTCTAACCCACTGGGACCCCCAAACTGAGTAGAGACCCCCCACAGCCAGGGGGAGAATCCAGGAATCTTGGCTCCCTGCTCCCCTCCATAGCCCTCAGCTAGGAAAAGAACTCAGGAGGCTGGGCTCCCAGCCCCCCCACCCACCCCGCAGCCAGGGGGAGAACCCAGGGGGAGAACCCAGGAACCCTGTCTCCCAGCGCACCCCCCCACCCAGGGGGAGAACCCAGGAACCCTGTCTCCCAGCC